TTTTTTTTCCTCTCTTCTTCCTTTACCCTTGGTGTTATGGATTGAATTGTGTGCCCCATCCCCAGCCATGTAAAGATGTAAATGTGACTGTGTTTGGGGAAACAGGGTCTTTCTTTGAAGATATTATTAGTTAAGTCATACAGAAGCAGAGTCCTAATGCTAATCCCTTCTGAGTGAGGTTTGAGATGATGACAGGCATGGAAATACACACACACACACACACACACACAGGGAAGAGGCCACTGAAGATGCATCTCCAAGGCGAAGAATGTCCAGAGACGCCTGGGGCTACAGAAGCTGAGAGAGAGAATGGAGGGCTTCCTCCAGACCCAGCAGAAAGAGGAATCATAGCTCCACTGACACCTTCGTTTCAGACTGTTAGCCCCAGAACTGCGAGAAAAGAAATTTCTGTTCTTTGAAGGCACCCACTGTGTGGTATTTTGTTACAGCAGCCTTAGGAAACCAAGACACCTGAGCTGAGAGGCGATCTAAGATGGTGGCAGAACGCACAGGCTCTGTCGTCAGACGGCCCACAGCCAAACAATGGTTCGGTCACATATCAGCTGTGTGCCCTTGGGTATTTTATGTTTCCTTGCCTTAGTTCCCCAGTTAGAAAGTTGTTATGACAGTAATAGTCACTTTCTCACAGAGTTGCTGCACAAAGCTTTCAGAACGGCGGCTGGCAAAGCAAGCACTGTGTGCAGAGGCGTATCAAGGGTGTGGCAGGTACGCCACGTGCCCTGGGCATCACTTGAGGGGGTGAGCCTGTGGCAGTTTCCATCGCCAGCTGTGAGAGATCATTCAGTAATTTAAAACACATTGCCATAGGCACTGTATTCCATAGATGTGTCTCTGACTAGTAGTGGTCTAGCCATCCCCTTTCCCCTCCCTCTGTATTCTCTGATTGGAGAACTTATGGGGATGATGGCTTCATTAAGCAAAACAGCTATCTGGACACCTGCTTCTATTTTATTTTAACATTTTACTTTATTAAATAAGTTGCAGTAAGGATTCATTAGATATCTTATCACCTTGTTTATTGATCCATTCAGGTGTTAAATGAACCTTCTGTTTGGAAGAGTCTTTCTTAAGATGAACTTATAGGCAGAAATTCCTGTCATCAATTTTACCATAGAGTGATTTGCTTTGCCACTGATGGAGTACTTGGCATGTGAATAATAGATTGTTGGGCAACAATGTGCTTTCCTTTTTGATTAGAGTGTCTCAGTGTAAAAAAGGCAAAACATAATGATCTTATTTATCTTTATGTTTCCAGAATGACATACTATGTGTCATGTAGCGTCAATCCTCAGTAATGCTTGAATTCAAATAAATGTGAACAGCTTTGGATGGTCTTAGTACCATCTGATATGTCTTGCATTTCCCTCCAGAATAATGCCTGGGAAGAGTAATGCGAACATTAAATTTTATTTAGGAAGGAAAAGGGGAGAGGGAACCTATCCTGAATGACTACTTGATTTATTAATCATGCCTGAGTTTAGATATAAAAAGGGATTCTGAGTTTACTGAGCTATTTTTAGAAGATGGACCTAAACTCAAAGCCAGAAACAACAGAAAACTTTGAAAACTCTTTCACAGAGGCACCAACTGGGGTCCTCCCATACCCTGATTTCCCCCTCTGCCCTTCAGTACTCTGGCCTTGCACAAATGAGCCCTCTCAAAATCTGAAAATTGGAAAGCAGTGCTGGAACCACCAGAAAGCTCTACTGAACACTTGATAACTTGTTTCCTGGAAATGGAAAGAATACAACATGTGAGTACACAGAAAGAGGGCACAAGACTATAAACTAACTTGTACAC